ACCTTTCTCATGATCATCCTTACCCCATGAGGAAAGATCTTGCACAGAGCTCCAGACCGAGGCCGATTTGGTTATTTTGTATTTCTTCCATTTCCGAATAATCGCACCAACAGTTGTCTCCTTCTCACCAAGCTTCTTGCTGATGGTCTTGTAGCACATTCAAGCCTTGTGCAGATCTACAATCTTGTCTCTGACATCCTTCGACAGCTCTTTGGTCTTGCCCATGGTGGTGGGAGAGGTTGGAATGGAAGATACAGATTGTGTGGACAGGTGTCTTCTATGATCTTTATATAATGTGTTTTTTTTCTGGATTTTTTTGGGTTGGTATTCTGTCTCTATCCATTAAAATAAGCCTACCATAAAAATTACAGACCCTTCATTTATTTGTAAGTGGGCAAACTTACAAAATCAGCAGGGGATCAAATAAATATTTTCCCCACTGTAAATATTCACTTAATTGTCTAATTAAATGCATGTCATGTTAAACACAAGACAAACATAGAAACACTGAACAAAGACAAGACATACAGAGCAGACACCCTGACAGATTCTTGATGTCTTTGTGTGTCTAAAGTGATTCAGGAGTTCAAAATGTTTAGTATAAAATGTTGTTTTTGTTTTTTTTCTAAACCTGATCAAAACACTGCTAAATCTCATGCTGTACATATATATATATATGTATATATTAGTGGCGAGCAGTGACTTTTTTTAACCGGGTATGCTGAGTGCTAAGATTAAGACCACCCCCCCAACCCCATCGGCTTTTAGGACACACTCAAAGAGGGATCGCAGATGACAAATAAGAAACACCGTGGCAGGTGTCGATTTAAAAGTATGCACATTTGCTACCTAATTTGTAAATTAAATTAATCTCCAATCCTTCTTCTATCGTTTCAGGTTTATTGTTATTCAAATGCTAGAAAAATATAGGCTAGCTGGTTTTCCAAGTAAAAGCCGCCAAAAAACGTTTAGTTACATTATGATACATAATATTCAGAGGGTGGGGAGATGGGGGGGATTCCCCCGGTATATGTCTCTGCATCTGCTGAATGATTTTTTTTTTATTCCCAGTGAATAGGAGTTAAAATTCCCACCCTGGTGACACTACTCCAATAACAGACCATGCAAAATACCCTAAATAATAATATCTTTAAAATATTGCCACGTAACGTTGCAACGTTGCAAACAACAATAAAATTAGAGAAGGACTTAACTGTAAGTGACACGAGCATACGCAAAACAAATGGAACAATAACATCTTAATGTTCCAAAAGTTCAAAGGATTTATGTTTCTTTCTTTTCCTGATATTTGTTATTTTTAAATGTTATATAGCCCATGTTTTTATAAACATTTTGTTTTAATTTACCACTTAGGCACGTTGACAATAACGTATATCTTCAACATATGTTGTCTATGACCAAAAATGTAAGAAGATATGTTTTCAGTGGACTCTTAAAATTAGCTTTGCTTGAGAAAACATAAAAATATACAGTTACAGATACAGATACAGTTTTTTTCTTTTGATTTAGTCGAGTTGGTTTTGCATCAAACACAATGTAATTTTCGGCAATCGAGATCTGGCAGCAACAGTGCATTTTTCCGCTTGGGCGAGCGCTTTGCAGACAGCTTATTTCGCGCATTAAATCACCTGCTCTTTATCATTACAGATGCAGGTCTGTCTCCAGCTGCTAAAGCATTGATTGGTTGTCTGCCGGTTCTGCTGGGGGTTGCAGCTGCTGTTTATGTGATTTACCGTTGCCGCAAAATCTCTCAACCAAAGTTGAATTGTAAGTATAACAGCTGATACAGCAAGAAAAAAAGAGCTTTATTGTGCCAGAGTAAAGATTTGAAAGTGTGAAAATGTTTGTTCACAATCATGTTTCAAACATTTTGTGTTTATGTGTGTTGTGTTGTAGTTTTGCCCAGTTTGTTCATCATAAAAGCAGGGTTAAAAAGAAACAAAAAAGAAACATTGTTGTAGAATGAAGGACTTGGAATACATTTTTATACAACTTTGAACACCTATTTTATTCTTTGTGTGACAATGAAATGCATAGGTAGTCCACACATTTTAAAATGCAGAAGTTTTCAGTTACAGTTACTGTGTGGGTTTGGGTTAGGTTACAGTATTTATTAATAGCTTTAACAATAGAAGTCTGTGCAGTGTCCCCATTTAGATGAATAAACATGTCTCAATCATAACAGATGGAGGTCTCATCCATTTGGTCTGGTTGAAAGGCCAGCTTAAACCAGCTCAGTCAAGTTTATGATGCTTTTCAACCAAAGAGATCTAAACGTAGATTAATGGAAGTTATAGATTTATTTAAATGACAAGAAATGCTGAGCAGTAGCTTCAGGGTGTCCCAAAGGCAAAATAAGAAACAGAACCATATCAAACAAAACCTCTGGTTAAAATCCCTAACAGAAATGAAAATAAAATACAAAAGCGTGTGTGAGTGTGATTCTGATTCAGTGTAAAGAGGCTTTAATGATCGATCACTGGGCAGGAGACCGATGTGAAGCAAATGATCATGCTGATTTTGTTCCTTTCTGCTTCCATTGGTTTTATTCTCCAGCTAATATCTGTTCTGTGTTTCTGTTTCTGTTTGCTGCTGTGACATGAAGGCAAGACACTGTCAGTGATTGAGGGAGAAACTGTCCCTCTACACCCTTCTGGTACTGAAATCATTAAAGAAGACAACATACGGTGGCTGTTTAACAAATCTCCTTTAGCTCAAATCAAAAGAAATCCCCCTGCACCTGTTATTGTTCTTCTTGACCGTTTCAAACAGAGATTGGATTGGAACGAAAATCTTGGACCTCTGATCATCAAAAACATACAAATCAAAGACTCCGGTTTTTATGAACTCCAGATCATCAGATCTGAAAATAACATCCAGACACTGGAGATATTCAGTGTTACTGTCTATGGTGAGTAACTCTCTGATCTTTGTGTAACAGTGATTCTATGTCAGATCAACACTGTGTGAATCATTTAAATGAAGGACTGTGAGGTTTTTATTTATTTATTTATGTAAATGAATCATGTGATTTGGTTTTTATCTTAGTGATGTTGTTTTTGCCCATTCATTTATTTTCACTCTCACTCTGTACTTGATTCAGTTATAGCTTGCAGTATATGTGCAGTCTGCAGCGCAAGTATTAAAAACATAATATGAGGCACAGTTTCATCTCAAATCACTTGCTTTTACTACTTTTTATTATGGTTCATTTGTTTTCTTGCTCTAATTTTTGTTCTGTGTTTCTGTGTGAAGCAAAGACAGATCAAATAAAAATGAAAGAGGCAAAGGAAGGAGGATCTGTCACTCTGGAGACTGGTGTTACTGGAATACAGAAAGATGATGAGATCCTGTGGAAGTTTGGACTTGAATACAGTCACATAGCTGCAATCCAAGGAGGGAAAAAGAAAACCCCAACATTTGGTGCTGGTTGGAGATACAGATGCAGACTGAAGCTGGATGAGAACGGATCACTGACCATCAGGAACATCAGACCCATGGACACTGGATTTTATGTATTACATATCACCAGACGTGGAAATACCTCATTACATTTATTCATAGTTAAAATCTCTAGTGAGTAAATCAAATCTATATCTTTCAGTATAATAACGATCTTATTTTTGATCAGCACTGTCAATCGTTTAGATCAGGGGTGCCCAAACTCGGTCCTGGAGGGCCGGTGTCCTGCAGAGTTTAGCTCCAACTTGCCTCAACACACCTGACTGGAAGTTTCTAGCATGCCTATAAGAGCTTGATTAGCTGGTTCAGGTGTGTTTAATTGGGGTTGGAGCTAAACTCTTCAGGACACCGGCCCTCCAGGACCGAGTTTGAGCACCCCTGGTTTAGATGAAGGACTGTGAGTTTGTATGACTAACAGATGACACTTTTGATGTCTGTTAGAAGAGACTGTGTGTATAATTGTAAATGAATGTGGTAATAGTAAAAATTCTTAAAACTACAATTCCTCATTATATATACAAAAACAAAGCTTTCCTTTAATATGATCTCTCTCATGTGTTTTCTTTCAGATCCCTCTAAGCCAGAGGAGATGCGTTTGATAAGTGTGGGCACTTCCAACTCCTGAATTGTCCATTCACTGTCAACATTCAAAATAAATCAACATCAGATTTCTCCTCATGTGAGCATCTCAAATCCCCCGTATGAACGAGCTGTAGATGTGTTTGTATGCAGATGAGCCACGCAGTTAAACAACAGTATAGAACACAGAAACCTTTCATTTATTGTGAAGTTGAAGGATGTTCACATTGATCTGTAGACTAACTCTCATCTTTATTTGCTCCTCTAAAATAAATCAAATTCAAATTTTTACATTTCATACCTGCATATGATGCATACCGGATAAACCACTTGCTATTTCAGCAATTATTAGCCATAATATCTAATGCAAAAATGTCATGTATAGACTAAGAATGTGTGTGTACTAATCCGGTATTTCACTGACTAATGTGATTTTTTTTCATATGTATAACACAAGCATGTTTATTCTTCAGGTCAGATCAGAGTCTCTCTGATACTGTAACATTCTCTTCCCTTTTAGAAGATGAAGTGTTTAATTCAAGAACTGTCCAGTGTCAGTGTTCAGTCTCTTTGTTAAAACTCTGATGTGACACATTTATTGCAGGAATTATCTACACATTTATATTACTTCAGTATTGTTTTGCTTTTTTTGTTTGCTTATAACTGGTCTTGCTATAGTAAATAATTACAATTATCTTGTATCCATTTATATTTTGTATTATCTGAAGTGAATGTGCCCATCTGTGTCTCTGACCAGATGCGAATGTGAAATTGTAAAATCTGATACTCCGTTCATGATTAATCACTGTTGTGTGACCTTTTTGATTTTTTTTATAGTTCTTTGATATTTTATTAGAGGAGCTTCAGCTTGTATCATTTGTATTTGCTGTTTTGAGCCAAACACACAGCCTTCATTTACGCTGTTACTGAATAAAACAATCAAAATAAACCAAAGAAAATTTAGTCTATTGTCTGGTTTATGTTCATCCTAATCCTCCCAGACTGTAAACTTCAAAAGATACTCAAGACACCATTTTGTGGTGATGATAATAAAGTTGTTCGGAATAAAACAATTTGACTAAAAACGTACAACAAGGAGAGAAAACCAATTATGATGTGAACCAAATGAGACTGATATAAAGGGGGAAACATATGTATAAATGTGCAACCAAACAAAGACCCAAGAAGGGGATCACAAAAAAGTACATTATCTGGTAACAGTTGCTGGTGTAGTTCGTAGTTTGTCCACAGAGAGGCGCCATGTAACAAACAGTGAAGTCAACACTAGCCTTGGTAAGAAATATCCTTCTTAATTAAAACATAATTCCAGCAATATATGAACTTGAATTTTTATGACTAAAGATCAGTTTATACTGTTAGAGTGTATTAAGCTTGATGCTGAAAAGATTGTTCCTACACTTAAAGTTATCTTTTTAAATTTCCAATGTATTAAAACCAGAGCAAATCATTAAAATATTATATGTGCTATGCTACTCA